TGTGAATGGGGAGACTATAATTTATGGACGACCTTTAAACAACGATAGAGTAGTGACCTTAGGTGTATCCACCTGGTAACTAAGATCAAGTGATGTGAGGAATTAGACTTATGATTTACAGTTGATGATTAGAGTTAGGAACTAGATTTAGAGTTTTCATTACGAACTGATATCAGCTATAATGCCAAAACTCTGTTTTGAATGAGTGAATTTCGCGCCAAAATCTGAGACCTATTATCCCAAAGCCTGATTGATTTGTCCATAAATTATAGTTTCGCCGAAAGTTGTTTTAGTGTAGTTACATGCTCTGAATTGAAACTTTTTCATTTTCTTTCTAGGTAATATAAATTCATATCAGAAGGGTTTTGTGGATATTGTAGTAATTTCAATGGTTGAGATCATGAGTCAATTGAAGCTAGACGACCATGGAAAACCTGGAACCACTGAACGGCTATTTCGTCCTATTGTGGGACTCTTCAGCAGTGCGCATAATTCAGTAGAAATTTTTAGATAGATTGGACCTATCATGGACGAAACTACACATGATCTAGAAAAAAAGATACTTATTTACATTTAATTGAATGACTTTCTATGAAAAGCAAGTTCTTTTCCGTAATAATAATATTCAGAAATAACATAGTGTTACATCCTTGACATGCCTACCCACTTCTATGCAGAGAAGATAACTTGTCTAAATCTAGACTAAGACCTTGACGTGATAGACTGACCGGCTTCACCTTGAGGGGTTAGTATGTGTGAGTTCGAAGTGACATCAACTATTTGAAGTACAGAGACAAAAACTATTCTATCATCTGATTGGCTGACAAGCACACAAGAAAAAGAGAAGACAAGTCAACTAGAACACTACTCGGTTTATTCTCAATTCAGATTAGTGTAAAAAGATACATCAAGAGTTATTTGTTCCTCTGTTCATATCACATACACATCTTAAAGTCAGTCAGTCAGCTACAACGTAGGACCAGGCACATATGTGCATCGGTCCAGGTTGCCATACCGCATCAGCACAACAAGATGAACACCGGATTCATAGCAGTGGTTAGGTCAAAGGTGGTAATAAATAAGAGGAAGATTGCATATAGATATATAGTACAAGAAGAAAGAATTGGTTCGTAGAAAGAAAGATATGAAGTGATTTTAATCTCTTAGTTTAAGAGGAAGACAGGGAGTGTATACACCGACTCCATTGTGATCGATTCTGAACCATGTCACCAAGAGTCTCCAACCATCGGTTACGAAAGTCACGCGGACCCCAACCAATTAGTCTGCATCTACCAACATGGCTCAGACTAGAAGTTAGTGTCTTCAAGCACTGATGCCACGTTTTGGTTTGGCCGCCCCTAACTTTCTTCCAACCATCTCCAATACCGGATAGCATTGGACGTCGTGGTTATCGGTGTTCAGGCATACGTAACACGTGGCCCAACCATCTCAGTCGATGAAGATTCATAACCTCATCAACTGATTTACCATCATTACCTAATACCCTGCGTCTAACCTCACTATTACTTACCCGGTGATCCCAGCAGACGCCAGCAATATTTCTAAGGCATCTGTGGTCAAATACTAATAGCTTACGAGTGTCTTCTACTCTTAATGGCCATGTTTCGCTGCCGTCAACTAAAACAGAACGGACTGCCGCGCAGTATACTCGTCCTTTTATTGATAGACGGATATCTCACCTTCGCCAAAGGTGACGTAAGTTGGCAAAAGCCAAGCGAGCTTTTCGAATCCGTGCTGAGATTTCGTCCGACACCAACCCATTAGGGCTGATCAGACTTCCAAGATAAGTGAAGTTGTCAACGCGTTCGACTTCTTCACTCCCTATCCTTAGTTCAGGTGTTGACGCAAGCCAGTCCTGAAGCAACAACTTGCATTTAGAGGAAGAGAAGCGCATTCCAAACATTCTGGCATTGTTGCTTAGTGCTACCAAAAGACTCGGCATTTTGTCAGCGTCTTCACCAAACAGGACTATATCATCTGCGTATTCTAAGTCGATAAGTGAACCTCCTGGTAGGAGATCAATACCCGAAAATCCAGTCGATGAGAATGTTATTTCCATCAGTAGGTCTATGACGAAGTTAAACAGAAATGGATAAAGTGGACAGACACATCTTAAAGTGACTTATAACATTGCTAAAAATTGGTACCTAGTTAATTTCAAGGTTCACTTAAAATATTTTATTATCATTCAATCATAATGATAATAGTTTGGTCACGAGGATGATAACCATGGTTTCGCACGTGCTTTGCAATGAGACTTACCTTATATATACTTTTCAAGGTACTTCGGTTTGTGTTAATATCTAATACTCATTAAATAGTACTGGATATTTTCAACGTCAATCTGAGATAATAACTATAACAGAGTAGAATGCTTTAGAGCAAGGATTTCTTATACGAATGTTGATAATGGCTAGGAGTGTTATCCAAGACGTGTACCTCTTCTTATCTGGGACTTGTCAGCTGGATGCAACTGCACCTGTGTCGATGCTTACGTTGCGACTAGAACACACCACCTTTCGCTTCAAACATCCAACGCGTTATTCACTTACAAAGTGAGTCCTTAACATAAATGGAAAGATTCAAATCCTTACAATTTAGTACACAAATATGATTCTGATATCATACGGCTTTGGCTTTTACATAGACACAAATCTTGAATGGTAAAGGATGGAAGCAAAAGATTTGTCGTTACTTGTCAAGCGAATGAGTTAAATCGTATAAATAAAGACCCAGTTAGACCTACTGGGTCGTAAGTTGAAATGTTATCTTGTACCTAGTTTGGTTCCAATTGGTAGTTCATCTTTATATTGATAGGAGACAAAGCAAACATGTGGTTTTGAGAAATATGATATCATCTTTAGGGTTTTAACCAGCATTACTCAATTTCAGTCTGAAACATAACAACTAAGCTATTCAAGTTGCGACCGATCTTCGGTACTAGTAGTAGTAACATTGACGTCATGTTTATGTATGTTTTAATGGTGAGCTTGAGTGCTGTGAGAGGTTTTCGGGCATTTATCACTTCAAGCTGGCCTAGACATTGGAAGAATATAAAAAGAAAACTGGGTTAGGATTGGTCATGATGACTAAAGAGTGTGACGACAGAGCTAAGGGGCTAAATATTTGGATGAAAGAGATGAGTGCCGTTCTTAGGATCAACCAATTTTAACTCTCTCCTTCCATTGTGGGAACGTAGTAACCGCAGGTTATTTGTAAGTTATATCTTGTTGCTGTTAGATAAGCTGTAGAGCCAGTACTGTGACTTTCTCCCTCTAAACCTTAAATTATGTTTTAGTCTTACCGATATCCTCATCCGATCACTCTGGCATAGTATCATTTAAAATAACTCGATTGGGTCATCACAATCTGTTGGTACGACCACCACATCTGATACGATTGAAATAAACACTGATCAAATCCTACCAAGTTGTAATGTAGTAGTCATTATAACTTCAGTACAAATGCATTGTGTCTTACAACTCAACACAATGGAAGATCATAAGATTGTTGATTTTATTATACAGAAATCATTAATATACACAAAACAGACAACATGACAATCTAACACAATAACCAAAACACACAAACATACATACATACACTTGAACATACTGCAAATAGTTGTCATATTGACAGAATATTTAAATAGTGCAAAAGTATACTCAATTGGAGTTATTATCATAGAGAATGGAAATGATCTGTCCCATTCCTTTTAGGTGCGCATTCCCCTCTCTCTCAACATATAAATGTGTACAGAGTCTCATTATCAAAACACAAACTTTAGTGATTGGATAATCAATAAACAGACAATATACAAAAAAAAAGAAATGGAATGATTGTGCACACAAGAAATTATTAAATTGTACTAAACGTTTATTTAATACATACATACACACACACACACAAGCACAAACATAGGTGCTGATAGTTATGAAAGTGTAAAAGAGGGAATAGAAAATTCTGTGGAAAAAAACACACACTTTATTATCTTTAATGACTGCTGCCTTTCACCAGTTTTGTGATATGCAATAATTAATGATTGTAATGCACATATTAATAATGAGGTTCTTTCATTGAAACAAATAGGAAGGTATACATGGTGATTAGGATAATTTTGGTCGTTTTGCATAGATTATATCAGTAGGAATAGTTGAATTGGTAGTAACAGTTAGTTTATTTACTATTGTTGTATTACCATTATTAATAATAGAAGATGGAGTTGTAGTATTGATATGAAAAGAAGAAGGATGAATTTCAATTGGTCTATTACAATTAATTGTTATTGTTGGTGTTGATATTGTTGAAGATGATCCAGGTGGTGATTGTTTTACATTAATTGAACGTGTAGTAGTAGTAGTAGAAGCAACAGCAGTAGTAGCTACAGTAGTTGTAAATGGTGTAGAATTAGCAAATGACGACTCTACAACTACTGATGGTTGTTTTGCATCACAAAATGTAGTGACACGGACAACTTTACGTACAGGATTAGGCTAGATTTTTTTTAAAATAATAAAAGCAAACAGGAAAATCAGTTATTTACGACAATAATCCTTTGATCAATTTAAATTATGCACTAAGAAGGCGGTATTTAACAGAATTAATGTGTCCTGGTACGGCCGAGAGTGGGGAGAGTCCGCTCTCCCTCTCGAAATGCTCTTACATGGCCACGTGCATACAACCATTGACAGGGAAGTCCTACTCACTGCCTTCTCGTGGCGGGGGTGTTGTTTACGAAATTGAGAGGACGAAAAGCGAATGTCCGGCGCTTTAACCGGGTTGGTGGACATGGAGAGTTCACCTAGGGGAGTTGGAAAACCCTCATTCCAAATCAATGGTGCATATGGGCAAACGGCATACGAACCAATCGTTGGTCACCTGCCACCATGGGACTGAATCTCCTGACGTTGCTTCCCTGCCTTGTGGACCAGACTTTTAGGTCGAAGGCTCCGGGTGTGGACCTCTAAGAAAACTACCTGCTTCGGTTTGGGCACCCGGGCAGTATCCTAGCCCTCACATAAATCGAATGATGAAGTATGGCGCATATCTGTTTGGTGCCTCCTTGTACTAATGTTTATGTGTTTAAATAAAAGAAAAAAATGTGACACATATATATAAGCGAAATATACCCATTCACAATGATTATGAGTGAACAACAAAACAATATCCTTGCTTCACCAAGAACTTAAACGGCATGCAAATAAATGCGTCACATCCTACTGTTTACCAATTCACAACTATGTGCATGTGAGTGGATATACATACCTTGGTGGAACAGTAATTGTGATTCGCAAGTCAGCTCGGCTGAATATTTACTTAAATAGTTACAAATAAAAATACAATCGAATAATCTAATAAGCGCAGATGACAAAATCTGAGGACCTGTGAAGTGGGGTTCGATTCGTAGTCACTAATTTTCAGGTTTAAAGCCCGATCCACTTCGATTCGGGAAACGGAGTATTGGTGTGACTTACTAACAAGTATCTGGTGAGTGTATCTAAACCTTATCTAAAAACTCAACTCCTTCCATGACCTAACATTGTTGTTGAAACAGAAGATAAGATAAATCGCAACTCAGTTCTTGTGGCCTTGTATAGAAGCTGTCTAGCTTCAGATATACTATGTATATTTGATACATATGTTACCTTAACGGATGATGTTTGCTAGTGTGGACGTAGGCTGAAAGAAATCTAAGGGAGAACCAACCAAAACTTGGCGTCAGTTCATGTGAAGCCACTGGCTTGATCTGAGCTAGGAAGGTAGGTGAAGACTACTTGAATCAAGTCCACGAGATGATCGTAATTAATGGTTGCAGATGTCGGGTAACATGGCTCACTATCAGTCACAACGACGCCCTCATGTATAACCTTATATTCTGTCTTTTCAAACCATATTTTCAAGGTTTAGTTTTTCTTTTTTATCGTTGCTACTATATTATTTCGATCTCTTCCATTCCTATCTCATCTTCCTAAAAGCTGGTATAGCAACTTGTGTCAATGCAGATTCGTGGCAGGCTCTCTATGTTGATGTCTGACTTGTAAGTCTATCTATAACTCAATGCTGATTACATAGACACTGCTAGTTAACGAATGAGTTAGGATTAAAATATTGTAAAACGTTCATGACATTAATAGTTAAGGAATGTTTTTGACTTATTCTAACTAATTAGTTAGGAATATTCACCGTATAATTATGTTCTGTGTACTTAAATAATCTTTATAAAAGTTTTGATTGAGATCACGTATTGATCAGTGTAAGACCACCGTTGAAAACCTGGAAGCACCGGATGGCCATTGCGTCCTAGTATGCGCACTGCTAAGGAATCTCATACTAGGACAGAACGGCCGTCCAGTGCTTCCAAGTTTTCAATGGTGGTCTAACATTGATCGATTCATAATCTCAACGATCCTATACTGACTTTGTAAAAGTCATACACATCTACATACGTACAGAAAAAGTATTTCAGTCCATAATTTCAAACGAAAAAACTACACCTACAAACACAATGACTGTATATTTCCCTACTTTATAATTGATTGATCATTGAGTAGTTAGTAAGTATTAAGCAATGTCATATATATCTAGTCCTTTATTGATGGTCGAAGCCTATCAGTCAAATTATAATGTATATGTCACTCGTTTAAGTGGTTTAACATTGCATAGAACAATATTACGCAATTCGACATTGATCACTACTACTCGGTGATTAATTAGTAGTTTTCTACTTGTCCATCTGTTTGAACGTAAAGATGATATGATGGAATTTATGCACCAAATGGTATATTATACAAGAAGGTCATTAATAAGTATTGTAAACTTTTACAGGTAGATGTAGATGTATAACAGTTACGCACCATTATTTTGATACATTTTCTAATCAGTAAAGGGATTTATGGAGATTGTAGTGTTTTCACAATCGAATTCACAAGGTTAAGCATTCGCATGTGGAACTGAAAGTCCTGGGTTCGATTTTTGAATGCAGGATCGAGGATGCATACTACTGAGGAGTTCCATACTGGGACGAAACATCTGTCCAGTGCTTCCATATTTTCTAATACTAAATATTTATGCCTTGAACAGATATATAAGAGAACTAGTTTATTATGAAGTATTGTATATTTTATAATGAGAATCCTCTGTTGACATAATGCCCTACAAATTTTGCCGGATTTTCTGTTCTCGTTTATTTTTAAATCTTCATGCAAACCTTACATTTGAATTAACGAGGGAAATTTACTGTTAAGATGGATACTTTGATGGATAAGTTCTCTGAGCTGGATGATAGTATAATTACGAAGTTTCTTATATCATTCCATTCAACGATATCAGAGTTTACTGTATTTAAAAGTAAGCTTTTTAGCAACTCTATAATTATTATACCTATCGATTTCAAAGGCCAATTACAAACAAAGGAGGTAGGATATCGGAACGAAATGATTTGGTACTCAAAATGACAATAGGAGATCCGTAATCAAACTATCTAACTGAGTATACAACACTATTAATACGTAAATATATATACATATATGATATATTCTACCTTACCATTGTTACGATTGACGGTGGAGAACAACTACCAGTGGTTGTCGTTGTACTGGTTGATATTTTATCTTTATTGGATTGTTGAACAGTTAATTCAACAGGTGTCGACGAACTAATTTTATCATTATTGAGTAGATTAGGATGTTTTTGAGTTAACTTCTCTAATTTATTTTTATTGTTATCGGTTCCTTCGTCAGTGTTCTCTACTATCACTTCGTCGTCAACAATATCATTATTGTTATCGTTATCATTGACAATAACATCTTGAATGTTTGACTGTTTTTCATGGCTTGCTTCATTTTCCATTTTCAAAGTATCTTTCTTCATGCCAGTAGTATTGGGCATATCATCAGTTGAATCTAATGATTGAGGTATCAGGACAGTAGAAGTAGAAGTCGCAGCGATTGAAGAATTTCGACAATAAGCTTGTGCTGAAGCATGTGCTTCTTTTAACATGGCATTTTCATCACCTAATGAATCATCCACTTCATCTTCATCGTCTAAGTACTCATCAACTTCTTCATCGAAATCATCCACTTCTTCGTCATCATCATGATGATGATCCATGACATCTTCGTCAACAATGACACCATCACTGTCTAATTGTTGTTGTTCCCGTCTATTTTTCTCGCGACTAATAACATTATCAGTGTTAGTGTCCGGATTACAATCATCATTGCCTACAACAACAACACGGTCTTTAGTTAAATTAATTGAGTTTTTTTGTTGATGAAATATAGGATTTGTATGATCTACATTATTATTGTTATCATTATTATTATCATCATTAACAAAAGGCAAATAATTAGAATTATCATGTTGTGGAGAATCATGTATTGTTGTATTATTATTATTATTATTATTATTATTATTATTATTATTATTATTGTGAATAGATTTAGAAGATTTCCCAGGAACATTACGATTGTCCAAATGTAATCGATTTTGAGCACAATGTTGTTGAGTAATATCCTGTAGGGTAATAACATTTAAAAGATAAAAAGTAGTTATTTTGACTTAGGTTTAACATATTAAGGATCTTATCAGTTAGACACTAATGATCAGAAGTGTAAAGCATAAGAACCCCAGAACTTTATGATACAATGTTGGGTAAAGTAAGGAGTTGAAAGAAAACTAGGGGTGAATAAACTAAGACATGACATCAATTTACTTAGTCAGTAAAGTATTGATAGGCACAGACTATGTGGTTGAACTGCGTGTGATAACCGCGATTGGTGGTTGGACAAGTTGAATGACAAAGCTCAGAGTTAGTAACCTTCACTTTAGACCCAAAGTACTAGGTGAGTGTGGCAAATCCATTGACTAGGTAGTGAGTCGTTATCGACTGAGATGCTTAGAACACGTATCACATACAACCATCCCCCGATTACCTCAATACGTGATGCTGTCTAGTGTACGAGTAAGTCGGAAGAAATTTAAGAGTGACCAAAGCAAGACATTACATCAGTCCATGACGTCTGTAACAATCGGCCCGAGTCATGTAGGTAGATGCAGACAATCTGGATGAGCTCCGCCTGGTTATCGTAACCAACAAGTAGAGGTAGGTAACATGGCTCAAAATCGTTCGCAATGGCACAATCGCAATTATTCTTTGTCTTTTCTTGGATCCTAAGTTTCCAAATTCATCATCAGCCTTTTTGATCGAGTCCCCGATGTCTAACCATTAATACCGTTACTACCTGCATTAATTTGGAATTCACCCTGAAAACTTCATCTCGTTGCGCTAATGGGGTATGGCAAATTCAACCTGTATCAGGTTTTAGATTGAAATTGAGTGACTGATCCATGGGGTTTCAAATGCTGAAGTTTTATCTACTAAACCACAACAGAATCACACAGGCCAATACAATTTAATTTACGAGTATTCATTGTAGAATGTTTACAATTTTCAAATATTGGATCTCTTAGTGTATGAGCAGTACTACGTTAAGATAACCAAGTAATGTATCCTAATTAATTGAATGAAACATACATCTTGGATTCCACTATCCGCTATTCTTTTTGAACAGATCATAGTCAAACTTCAAAATGCAGGCAGTATAGAAGCAACATTGCTTAATTTAAACAAAATAAAATAAAATTCTGGATGTCGGTAGTAACGGGAGAATACAAGACCCCATTAGAAGTAATAATGAATCCCAGAGCTGATTAAAACTCTCTGTCTACTATGAAAACATCATCATTATAAATAAGTTATAAAAATTTCACTTAGATGGCTTAGATCTGTAACGATTTAACAATACCATAAAGTAAAGAGAAGGTTAGAAAAATCAAGCCTAAACAGAATACACTTCACTTTGCCTCATAAATTCCTATTGCCAGAAAGTTTGAGATATGTAGAGCTAACATATCAAAAACTAATCCCGAAACGACCACGTGTGACTAGTTTCAAGAAGTTGTTTTTGGAAACCTCAGTCATGCTCCCAGGGTGACAAGACCATTCTACTGCTAAGAATCTAGTTCTTTTTTCAGGTAGCTCAATAATATCTTTTCACGATGTGAACCTTCAGGAGTTAAAAACTGCCCTTACAACCTTATCCACCGGAGATTACGTTGTTATCAATCAAATCCATTCGTCAATTCTTGTATGCATAACAAATTCTCATACCACATTATTGAGAAATAACATTAGTGATGTAAGTAGGCACACTATAAACTCAACAATGTATACTGCCCACACCGCCATTAACGAATTTCTACAAACATCAACAATGATTCTGAGGCTCAACAAAGCAAAATAGTGAGTAGCATTCGACTACTTATATCTTTAAGTAGTAGTAGTATTTGGTCGAATCAAAATCTCAGACGTTTATGTAAGTTAATAGTAAAAGGAAACAGTTTCCAATTATCTGATTGGGAAATCACACTTTTTCTATTTAAGTAGAGATAGTTAATTAGTACGACTAGCGTGCAGCTTAAAGACATATACAAACAGTCGGTAGAAAACAAAGGACCTATGTTTCTTGTTAGTTGGTATTCATCTGTAAGTTGCGCCTGTAATCTTTAAGGAATTGACGCTACGTAACAGATTAAAATCTTAGTCACTCAGATTTACAATATGAAACGTCGCCACTGGAACATTCAAGTCATGACTGACTTCCTGCTGTACGAAGATGTTTATTATAGAGATTGGTTATTAAGTAGTGAACAATGTTATCTTTGCCTAGTCTTTAGAGCCGACAAATTCTATCAATCAAATTACAGTTTGGTCTGGATAGCTGAATGGTTACATCAACACATGAGCTTGATGAATTTCATTATTCTTGAAGTCTCCACGGCTTTTACTGAAATGATTGATCTACTTACGAAACAGATTTATTTACCTATTACTACATAACTAACAATCATGGTAATTCAGTTCACGTATTTATTGAATACACAATGTATGAGTATCGTCTTACTTAAAACTCGTTAGTATTGATACTTGCACTGAGAATAGAAATGAAGATTTTTTTGCAGCAAATACACCAACACGTTACCTACTGAGCCATTGAGTATTGATGACTAATAATTTGCATACAATAATAATAATACTTACTCTACCCATTTCACCCATAACAGCGACCGGTGTCATGCCTAAATGTGCAGCGACTTTGTGCTCAACTAAATAAAATATGTACTCATCATATAATAGTCGAATTAAATGAAAACTGCCAAAACTCGATGCAGATCTCAACGTCAGATCTCTAATCACCATTGAACTGATTGGTGAGGGAAAAAGAGAAGAAAACACAGTAATAATAATACGACAATATATACACAAGGAAAATGTAACTACAACTTGTAAGGATATAGAAAAGATGAATAAGACTAGTCGTTTAAAGATGTGGTAAATATGTATTTATGACACCATTTGCAACCAGACAGTGTCGTATTAATAGCCTTAAAACAAATGATACAGTTCAATAAAGTTCAGGAGATTAAACTTGCGGAAGTTTTGTAAGAACACATAAGTATACATATCAAAAATCAATCTTTTAACAGGAGAATTTCTTGTTGATTTAGAATACTCAGTTGATATAGTTATTTTTGGTGAAGACGCTGAAAAACTCCAGTCTCTTGACCACCTTGAGCAACAATACAAGTATAATTTCAATGTGTTTCTCTCCCTTCTGATTCAAAATATTACTTCAAGTTTGGCCTGAGGAAACGCCTAAATTAATGATGAGAAGTAAACTATTGTTCACCAATTCACTTATTTTAGGGGTCTTATCACTTTTGATGTGTTGATGTCTGACGAAATCTCGGCTGATCCTTGCCAACTTGTGTCAATCGTGATGCAAGTGAGTTATCCGTCTACCAGCTAAAGGATGATAGTACGGTGCAGCACTTAACTTTTTTGCACTTTATGGGTATGAAAAGTAGGATATTTGTTGATTACTAGTATTTGATTAAAAGTCTCCTCGAAATATCGATAATATATTTTGGAAACAACGAGTTAGCAACCTTCACGTTAGACCCAGAGTATTAGGTGAGCGTGGCAAATTCAATGGCCAGTTAGTGAATCGTTGTCGATCGAGATGGTTGGGATATGTATTACGTGTGGACATCCGTCTGCGAATGCGACGCGAGATAATGGTAGTATAAGAATGGGTAGGAAGAAAGTTAGCGATGACTAAATCAAGACATGACATCAGCCCATGAAGACACTGAAAATTGGACAAAGCCATATGGGTAGTTTCAGACCACCAGGTTGGGGTCAGAGTGATTATTATAATCAATGTTTTGGGTGACATGGCTCGGCATTTCGGAATAGAGTGGGTGCACTTGCTCTTCATCTTCCCTTACATCCTAAGTTTTTAAGTACTTCATCAATTTTGTTTTATTTCCCGAACCATATCTGAGATGCCTAACCGCTCCTATTACAACTAATGTTGTTACTACCGCTACTACTCTGGAATTTGTTTGACCTGATAATTACATCTCGTTGTGCTAATGAGGACATAGCAGCTTGAACTGATGTACACATATGCCAAGTTTTATGTTGCTTTTGATTGACCGATCGCTTACTTGACCCATATAGTATATGGGAGCTTAACTATTTCAACTTGAAAGAGTGGGGTAAGTAATAAATAGTATGTTTTAAGCACCATATGTAAAGAAAACAACACTAGTCAAAGAATATAACCAGAGTAATATCAGTATGTTGGCTGATCAAAAACAACCATCAATAAGTCCCAAAGACCTAAGTTTGATACTATTCAACACTTATCCATACGGCATATATTATTATTTCACCTCGTGGGATGTGTTCAAACTCATAATCATAACACTGAGCTGTTCAACACCTGAATAATCTCTTCTTGTAGGACTAAGACATCCTTATCCTATTTAATCTATCACTTACTTATCCTGTAAAGGGATGAAGTAAAAAAACGATCTAAATAAAAATATATCCATGAATTTCTTTTGCAGGAGAAATACCCCACCTCATACACCAATATTTTCATGATAACATCTATGTATATCATGTTCTTTAGGATGGATCGTATGTTCAAAGTAGATAACATTGGAATTCAAATTGATCCTATGATAAGAATACATTTTCTAAATTGACTAATCAGATTTGAGATGGTGGCTATAAATTTTTTTTCATGAAAGCTAGAGTGTCATGAATTGATGGGGTTATATTGTGGTGCATACTACTTATGCTGGCAAATATAAGTAGTATGTAACACTAATCAGAAGTGGAATAGTTGTCAGCAGATGATGGAGAATATTGAATTGAAGAGAATGGGAAGGGATATAGAGAGCGATTGGAATAACAAAAGAATTGAAAGAATTATGAAGTATGTAAAGGACAACAGAAGAAAGATGTGCAAATAGTGTCATTTAATGTAATGATTTTCATATTTTACGAATACACTTTGTAATTTTGTATTAAACGATACATTAGTTCTCGTTCAGTACAATATATTACTAATAAAATTAATAACTAATAAATAAGTAGTACTGAAAAGAATGACGGGAGTGAGGCATAAGGATCATGTTTTATGAAACCTTGAAGACAACAGAAGAGTTCTTGGTATTTTTCTTTTTAAAAAAATGAAAAAAACTAACTGGTTAGATGTTTATTTACATATGTCTATAAAGAATATTTCAACTTTAACCCTTCTTAAGGATGCTAAGTTCCCAGAAATCACTAGGTATACATCTCATTTTTGCAATCGTATTTTAGGAATTAGGACTTCTCATTTTCGCGCCAAAAGCGCCTGCTTTTACCTTCAACTTGTATGTATCACTTGGAAGGACTTTAAATATCATTAGTTCGTCTCCTATTTTGTAATGTTTTCCGAGGACATTTTGGTACTATACATATATACGTATGAGTTGTGTGTTTATTCTTTCGTGCTTCTGACTGTTTGTGGAATATACATTTTCATTGACTGAATTTGGTATTCTCCCTCTAGTTTTTAGAACTGGGGCGGAGTGGAATAATTTAACTTATCCTGTTGTTGTGTTTCTGACTTTTGTTTTGTTTGCCGGTTTTAGGTGATTTCGTAATCATTTCAAACATAGCAATAATCCTAACATCTAAACTCCTAAGCCGTATAACTTTAACCAAAGCATTTCTAAGGGTTTTTTATGTGATAAATTATTCACTTTCTTAAAGTCATTTTATAAGCTATTGAAAGTTGTCAAGTAAAGTGTGTATTTTGTCCACCTTTTATTTATTGGCTAATTTGAGGCATATGAAAATCAGGATGTTAGTGATTTAAGAATAGCTTGGATACGAGATTCTACTACTACTAAGGAGAAAACTAACATAGCTCAGGTTTTTTGGTTATTTATCATCCAATTTCTAAGAGAGTGGGGTTAAATACAAGGATTTTATGCAAAATCATCATTCCATTGATGAATCAATCAAACTAGATACGACTCATAGATTACGCAAAAAAATTGAGTCGCATAATCAATGTTTTCGGATTTTTATTAGTGTAGGAGGATTTTCATAGTGTAAATCACGAACTAGCTTCAAGATGGAACTTCTGGAGTTCTGGTGAGGTCGTAACCAACGCACTTCAGCTTTGACATACAAGAAACGATTAATTATCTATTGAAGGCAATGAATAAGGGTTGCCTTTATTGGATGCCGTTTCAGTGGTTTAGAGGTCAAGCATTTACGGGTGAGACCGAACGACTTAGGTTCGATTCCTTGTGGTTAGGATTGTGGATGAGCACTTTTAAAGAGTTCTATATTAGGCATAAAACAGTTATTCAGTGATTTCAGGTTTCCAATGGTCGCTTACCAAGAAGATTACTTTGTAATTTAAACTATGAAAATTTTTGAATTTCTTAATTCTATTATTAAGAACATACCTGTAAAAAGACCATTTCAATACTAGTTGATGTGCAGCTCTTGTATAAGCCAAACTATTGCCTTCAAGTGGTTGTAAGATGCTAGTCACTACTGTATCTAACCATTGAGCCCATTCTTCCAGTGATGCATGCTTTTGTAAAATACGTTTAAAATCATGCTCTAACTGACTAACAGTAGAATCACTGCATTGACATACCCATGAAGCTTGTTCCTGTAGATAGAGAGAGGAAGAAAGAAAAGTAAATAACATTTGATAGGAGAGATATTATGGAGGAAAAGTGAAGATAAAATTTCCGGTAAAATATGTTGTACTTTGGTGGAGTTGTAGTTTACAACAAAATAAACTTTATCATTAGCGCTTATCTCATATGGAAAGGAGAGTTCTTAGTTATTTCGCATGATATGTCATTAATATGATAATACAGATACATGTAGACAATTACGTATATGTATTCAACTCAGTCAGTCATACACAATGTAGAACCTGACACGTATGTGTGTCGGTTCAAGTTGCCATGCCAAATTAACACAGAGAGATAAAAACCAGGTATCGAAGTAGTCGGTTGATGTCCAAACGTAATACATGTCACAAATATCTCAGTTGATAATAACCCATTATTTTATCAATCGATTTGCTATCCCTACCTAGTACTGTCTAACGCGAGAGTTGTTCAATCAGTGCTTCAAAAATGTACGAGCAATACTTCGAAGGCATCTATGATCGAATACACGGAATTTACAGATATCCTTTAATCTTAATGGCCAGATTTAACACATTTAAAGTAGAACGGAGCAAATTGTTGTATAGAATCTCAACACGAATTTAAAAAGCATGGTTGGCTTTTTACAAATTACGTCACTTGTGATGTAGGCAAACAAAGGACAATCTTAAGTTTTAGAGTTATCTTATATCCTTTGTTCCACGAATTCATACAGTTTTCTATGCCCATTATTTCCTGTAACTAATGATTCTGTTAACCCATCACAAACAAAGCCGATAGAAAGAACTGGTTTAACGCTTGTGAAATAAATAGGAAGCTGATAATGTTGTTATCCAGGACAGAAATGAAAGCTCCATATATCAATCGTCTAATCTCAGAGAACTTAATAACACTGAAAGCAACCACTGTAACTATAAATCTTCACCAAGATTTCAATCATGCTGCATGATTGAAGACCATTGACAGAAACCTATGTACGTTGTAATTGTCAAAGATGAACATTAAATTACAGATAATATTGAAAAGTATGAAAAATTGGATGTTTTGTGCCATAGCTTGAGAATCCTTAGCAGTGCATCGAAATCACAATGATTTCATATATTCAACTGTAATCAACTTGTTTACTTCTAATGAATCTCCTAAACTAGAATGACAAAAAACAGTGTCCTCTAGTCTTCTTTTTCTCAATGGTACTCTGATGGATGATAATTCGTAGTGAAATTAACAGCGTTGGGCGCCGGCTAAGTAGTCTAGAAGTTAGGCGTTCGCGCGCGAGACCAAAGACCCTGGGCTGGATTCCCGCGTGCAGGATCGTGGATGCGCAACGCTGAGTCCCATATTAGGATGTAACGGACGTCCGATGCTTCCAGGATTTCAATGGTAGTTTAGCTTAGATGAATTAGTGGATTCAACTGAATAATATCCCTTACATAAAAACGATTATTACTACTATAAATTTCATGAATTAAATAATGAAGACGCATAAACTGATGATTAATGAAACACATTTTTTACTATGATACCACATACTACAACGACAAATGAAATACTCACTTGTACATTATTGAAATCGACACGATTTAAATCGGCCAACATTTGATTAATTTGATTAGCATTTTTTAGTACAGCACGGGCAGCTTGAGCTAAATGATTTAAACTAGTGTAACGTCGAAGAGTTTGTGCTAATGCACATACAGCGGATATTTTTAAATTAATAAGATCTGTATCTAAACCTTGTATAGCTTGACGCATCCAACCCTTGTAAAAAAAATATGGAAGAGAACAAATTGTATTAGTGTATAAAGTTTGTGAAGATTAATGAATCGTATCGTTTGCATCATAGATTCAATTTAGTTAAACAAATACTAAAAACCAAAAAGCATTGGGCAGCTGTTCCGTCATAGCATGCAGCTCTTTATAAGTGAGCATCTACAAAGTCACCGGGAATTGAACCCAGAATCTTCAAGTCTTATAATTAATGTTTAACCTTTAGATCACAGTCAGTATTCAAAGGTTCAGTGGTGTATGCTACTTATATCTCTCAATATAAGTAGTACGTAACACCAATCTGAAGTGGAAAACCTGGCAGCAGGAGGCTAAGAAAATCGAGAAAATAGAAAGGAAATGTGGACTGGAAGAATCATACAGAATGTGAAGGATAGATGATGGAAATTTGCAAATGAAGTATTCAGTGTATGGTTCTTATATTTTACCAATAAACTCTGTAATTTTGTATTAAAATACGATTGATCGTCCCCACCTGAGTCTCACTTATTACAGTTTATATTCCTAACTTTAGTCTATTCGTGATATAGCTCAGTTGTTCTCTGAAACAAACCATTAATAGATAACTGTCTCCACTGGTTGCGTCGATTCTCACTAGAAATTTGGGAATTATCACTTGAAATTAACCCCATGGAGTAGGTTATTATTATTAACAACCAATAAAAAGTTCATAACTTAGCAACATACAAATCGCAGTATCTGAATGTACCAGATAATTTAGTAAGTCATATGCAATGTAGAAAATGGTATATATGTGAATGAATTGAACACATGTTGTTTGAGGTTCCCCTATTAGTAAAAGATGTAGGTAAGTCCGTTAGAAAGTAGTAAATTAAACAACTAATAGGAATAATGATGTATCGCTGTTGACTATAATGAAGAGTGTGGCAGCATTAACATTTTCAGCGATGGTGTTTTTCTATACAAACAGAAGATAAAACATATCTGTCCTGAAAAACAAACTTATTAATACTTAACAGATTTCTAGTCTAGATGACAAGGTTTGAAAATTATGGAGATAATACAAAAACATCGTGTGTCTAGCCTTGAAGTTTTTTTCAGAGGTATCTAGCGGGGTTATTCGAATAACAAGATCAAAAGTGTCTTTCTTCAATCACTTAAAAAAGGAAGGAGCTTCAGGATGTAAGTTATCGAGAGCAATGAGTTGCTCTTGGAACCCTAGCCAATGTAAACGATCATTTCCCTTAAAAAGGAACTTTTCTTGGACTACTGTTTAACTACATTACTTTTGATAAACATTTGCATTAAGTGTTCTTCCGTAGAACATATCCCAAATAAAATTGTAGATTACATTACGAAATGACTTTAACTAACATCACTGAATCCCAACTCAGTGAGTGGTCTAACATATACTCGCCAAGAAGCCTGAAGTGATTAGTTCGAATCGCTGGTAGGATTTTGAGTCGGCAATTATGAAGAGTCTCATACTAGGGCAAAACAACCGTTAGCGTTTCCTAGTTTTCAATAGTTATCTAGTAGACATATTCAGTGGATTTTCATCACAAGCTGATGTCAATTTGTAAAGGAATATTAGACGCTAAGAGAAGAGGGAGGAAACACTGAACTGCTAATTTATCGTAATATGAAGTAATAATAGTCTTTCTCCAAAAAAAATTGGCTCACTTCAAGAGATTTTGCAAAATTACGGATTGCTTGTGTAAGAGTTGGCGGAATAGGTCGAAGTACGTTTGGTATTAAAACTTCAGCTAATGATTGATAGAATGTATGATCATAAAGTCGAATGAATTGTAAAATGGCCGGATCGGACACGAGTGAATATAATCTTTCTTGTGATAAACTTTGTTTTAACCGAGAATCCTACCAATAACAAAAAATAAACACAATAGACAAAACTAACATAAATATTAGACTTTGAAATTATTTAAATAATAATTAGGTGAACTAAATGAAAGAGTATTCCGAAGATTGCAAAGACTAAAATCCTCAAACGAAGAAACTGTCTTGGTCAATCGTACTTGTAGAGGGGAATGCGCGACTGAAAGGTAGTCATGTATGGCGGTGGTTGCAGGTAATTGACAGGAAACCCTGCACGACTTAGGTTTCGTGCTAGTTGGGAATGACAAGAAAGTTATACTTATAATCCTAAGGGAACTTCCTGGAGGGTTCGATCCCATGTCACTCAGCCTCAGTAAGAGACGTTACAGATACACCTTGGTGATAAGTACCTAATGGCACGAAATGTAGGTTAAATTTCCTGTCGTCTACCTCAATCATCATCACCTTACATCTCATACATATATAACATAGTTAACTGCTCAATAAGCAATCAAGTGTAATTGACGTCAGATCTTTGCATATACAATTATCAAGGATCTAACAGATAATGGATATGAAATATCTCAAAGGTGTTCATAACAATTGATTAGCAATGCATCTAGCCTTTACTCTGCTTTTTAGAAGCCATCGCTATCACATGTACAGAAAAGCGAAGTAAACCTACTTAGTCCCAACCAAGTAGTTGTGAAAGATTTGAGATAATGCAATTCAATCAGTCATCAATCACTGATTACAGGAAACGCATGAGGCCCAACCAAGAATTTTACATCAGAAGTCGCTGACATGATATTACCATTCTGGCTCTTTGCAACGCAGTATTTCTCGTTGGAGAATTCGAAGGTTGAGTTAATTTTGATGCATTCCTCAGTAGATGAAGGTTTATATACTCATAGACTTGACTTCAACGTACACTTTTTTGTGTGAGAGTTGCTTAGTCTAAAGCATCTGAGCTGGGGTTTGAATATAAACTGCCAGTGATTGAAATTCAAATGTACCACAGTCTCTGAGAAATTTGCTTCCCAACGATACTACCCTATTGATGATTGAGAATATTGTGAATACATGAATATATAAATACAATTGAATGGTCGAAAAAAATCAATAGTATTTTTAATACTTACTCGTACTTCTTCAGTACACCAAAATGCTTTCCATACTGTTTCAATTGAAGTAAAATCTAAATTTACTACAGCATCAAGCATATAACCAGCGGATAAAGCGTAAAGACGACAAAATGTAATTACATCTTCATTTATTGATAAATTATTCGATGTTTCAACTGTTTTTAAACGACTTTTATTCTCTGACAAATCAACTGATAGATTGTAAGAAAACAAAAATAAAACATAAGAAACATCATTTAGAAGAATATTCATTCTATGTAGTAATGTACTTGTCATTGAACATTTTCAACTAACAATGATGAATTAAAGATAAAGGTAAACTGTCAATTAATTTCCCTTTTATTTTTATATTCAAAAATTATCCTCAGTACGTGGTTCTGGAGGTGAATAATTTATGTTAAACTTTCCAAAGATTGATCTTCTATATAGACACTTTCAGATACACATATAGGGAGAGAAAGATTTAAAGTATGGAGATGAAATCCACTACCTTCCGAATACCTCAAGGACATCCAAGATCTGTGCTCCTATGTTTTTTCTCAAATGAAAAACATTACTTTGGAATAGATATGCGACAATGCCTAATCTGATCACAGAAAATAAAGTAGTTGGTCACATGGTGATCGGTGATCACTATCAATATTGTGATTTAAATCACACCTTAGTAGATGATGACTGAATAAATTTAAGTAGGGGACACACATACACGTTTTGGTTTTTGTTATATATATTTTCGACATTCATTGTCAGATTTTTCAATGGGTTGATCTCTTATCAGGAGACTTATTTGTTGACTTCGAATACGCAGATGAAATAGTTCTGTTGGGTGAAGATGCTCAAAAATCCAGTCTCATAAACAATTTAAGCAGGAATGCAAGCATGTTTAGAATGCGATTCTCTCGCGCCAAATACAAAATATTATTTCAGGATTAGCTTGTGTCAGCACCTGAATTAATGATAGGGAGTGAAGTAGTTGAGGGTGCCCAATGCTTCACTTAAATTGGGAATCTCATCAGTCCTGATGGGCTGGTGTCTGACGAAATCTCATCTCGGATCATGAAAGCTCGATTAAACTTTGCCAACTTGCGTTACTTGTGACTTAAGCGAGATATACATCTGCCAACCGAAGGACGAATTTACTGCCCAGCATTTCGCTCCGTTCTACTTTATGGGTGTGAAACCGCCATCAACATAATTGTACATTACTAGTATTCGATCATAGGTATCTTGGTCGAGCATTTCGAGACCACTGAGTTGGCAACCCCGAGGTTAGGCATGGGGTACTGGGTAGGGATAACAAATCGACTAGTGAAGCAGTAAATCTTCATCAAATGAGATCCCTTAGATACGTGTTACGTACGCTCAACCACCACCTACTTAGATGGGCGATGCTGTACGTTGTAAGAGTAAGCTAGGGGCAGATAATTCAAAACGTAGCATAGGTCCATGAAGCCACTAGAAGCTGGACTGAGTAATGTTAATATGTGTAGACTACCTGGTTGGGGTCCGCATGATTATCGTAATGAGTGGTTAGTCAGTCAGTCAGTCAGCTACAACGTAGGACCAGGCACATATGTGCATCGGTCCAGGTTGCCATACCGCATCAGCACAACAAGATGAACACCGGATTCATAGCAGTGGTTAGGTCAAAGGTGGTAATAAATAAGAGGAAGATTGCATATAGATATATAGTACAAGAAGAAAGAATTGGTTCGTAGAAAGAAAGATATGAAGTGATTTTAATCTCTTAGTTTAAGAGAAAGACAGGGAGTGTATACACCGACTCCATTGTGATCGATTCTGAGCCATGTCACCAAGAGTCTCCAACCATCGGTTACGAAAGTCACGCGGACCCCAACCAATTAGTCTGCATCTACCAACATGGCTCAGACTAGAAGTTAGTGTCTTCAAGCACTGATGCCACGTCTTGGTTTGGCCGCCCCTAACTTTCTTCCAACCATCTCCAATACCGGATAGCATTGCACGTCGTGGTAATCGGTGTTCAGGCATACGTAACACGTGGCCCAACCATCTCAGTCGATGAAGATTCATAACCTCATCAACTGATTTACCATCATTCCTAATACCCTGCGTCTAACCTCACTATTACTTACCCGGTGATCCCAGCAGACGCCAGCAATATTTCTAAGGCATCTGTGGTCAAATACTAGTAGCTTACGGGTGTCTTCTACTCTTAATGGCCGTGTTTCGCTGCCGTCAACTAAAACAGAACGGACTGCCGCGCAGTATACTCGTCCTTTTATTGGTAGACGGATATCTCACCTTCGCCAAAGGTGACGTAAGTTGGCAAAAGCCAAGCGAGCTTTTCGAATCCGTGCTGAGATTTCGTCAGACACCAACCCATTAGGGCTGATCAGACTTCCAAGATAAGTGAAGTTGTCAACGCGTTCGACTACTTCATTCCCTATCCTTAGTTCAGGTGTTGACCCTTCGTCGGTGTGGGCAACCGGGAAGTGATAACCGCCCTCATAGCTCTAACAGCACTCGAGACCACAGTATTCATAATCAACCAATGAGTGGTTAGAGACTCAATGAAATCACTCAAAATTATTTGCAAAGGCGCATTTGTATCAATTTTTTGTCTTAAGCCCAATTCTGAGCTTCGAGATTCCGCATAATTTTTTCTGATCTCTAATCTCTTCTATTACAATTATTACTACCTCCACTACTCGGGAGCTTGCCTACAGGATTTCATCTCGCTGTGCTAATAAGGTACGGCAACTTGATGTGCATACGTACCAGGTTTTACGTTGCGACTAACTGGTTGTAACGAGGGCGGTGTCCACAGAACTGCTGTGGAATATGCTTTGGGAAGGTGTGATGAGAATGCTATTAACCCCTTTTAATATACGTATCTACAAAATACTGACTACGTATAGTGAAACACATTGGGTGACTAAATGGTTAGGTTTTGATTAGAATAATAAAACGTACGGAAGGTGGATCGATTGATAAGACTTTGAAATTTCGTTAAATAAGACTATTTACGGGGGAGGGTAGTTATAAATTTCAAAAAGGTGTGGATGTATCTTGATTAAGTCACGGTATTGTCAGCGGTCAGGAATGAGTAATCGCATATTCAAATCAATTCTAACCTAGTGTTATGACGGAAAAATTGATTTGGTAGAACAATGAGATCATCGTTCCTCCAGATACCCTGGTACGGTCGAAGGTGAGGAGAATCCACTCTTCCTCTCAAAATGCCCTCACACGGCCACTATTAGGGAAGTCTAACTCACTGCCTTTTCGCGGCGAGTGTTTTTCACGAAATTGAGAGGACAAAAAGTGAATGTCTAACGCTTTAACCGGGTTGATGTATGTGGGGAATTCACTTAGGGGTTGGAAAACCACAATTCCAAACTAATGGTGTACATGTGATCCAGGATCCTGATGGAAAAATATCGCACGAACATTCATCGAGTCTACTAAATATAAGTTAGTTCTTTTGATGAAATGAATCAACTATGAATTTATATATAAATAGATAAACAAGATTGTGTTTCTTACCTTCACTTGGCACAGGAAGACCAGATGATCGGCATATTTCATCTAGATTAGGCAATGCGGAACTAGCTTCACCAAGAAAATGTGCATGATGTTGACCATTACTAACACTACTAGAAGATAATAAAGGACTTGTTACTGAATTTGTAGTAACACTATCAACATTTTGACTAGTGGAATGTGAAGAAACATTTCCACTACCAACATAAAGATTATTATTTAACATTGATTTATCGGAAGAACGTAATGTTGTCACTGTTGTACTGGTACCGTAATGAGATGATAACTGAGAATTACTACTGGCATTACTGCATGAGATATGTGATGTTGAATGAACATGAGATGCTAAATTATTTAATCCAAAAGAAGTGTTCCCAACTCCAACTCCACTCCCATTTGTACTTAAAGATTTCAATCGATTTAACGAAGAATTTGTGAAATTTTTCCATTCAGCTGCAGCTTCCATTGTTTGACGATGATAATTAGGATAATGTCGAAGTGAGAAACCAGCATCTTCGATAAAATGATTTAAAGGTGAGCTTGGCTTAATACGAATACCATAATAATGATATTTAGAATTTCCACGTGTACCTAGTCGTCGTGTACGTAGGCCAAAAAATACTGAACGTATTAATTTACCAAATGATGCTGGATTCATTGGCTCTAATTTATGTTCATTACAATGTTGTAAATAATGAAAATATAATGTACTACGTGGAAGACTAACACCATCAGCTGTCTCGTAATTATCAACAAGCCATTGAACCTAAAATATGATAAGAAACAATTTGCTTTATTAGTGAATAATGTTGAAAAAAAAAACAAGTTTAATAAAGGTCAAGGAACAAATGCAACATACATATACCATTAGATTGTAAGCTTTATAAATAGTACATCATTTGGATTTCAGTCGCCAGCTGTAATGTATATCAATATACGAAGCTAACACATTAAGTACTATTGACGAAAAAGTTGTATGTAGCTGGGTTTCAGCAGCTGTTGTCGTCTGAGCTCTGTTATCATTCTCCTAGATCAGTAAGACCACTACTACTACTACTAGTAACCTAGTCTCATTTTCAGATCCCTTAAGAATAGTGTGTATACAGCTGGGAAACGATAATCAGCTACCGACATTTTGAACACCATTTAAGATCATCTTGTTCATTGATTAACTAACTGAAGATTAGGTAAGATGTACCAGATCTAAGATTTATCGAGTAAAAGTTTATTTTTGTGTGTAAAAAACAGACAAAAGACATTATGGTACAGTAAGGTAATAACGATAAGGTGTCACAAAAATATTGTAAAGAAACAAGAGATGGAATTGATTGTATTATCAACATGTGTATTAGTGAACTAGATTGGTATTTAACAAATGCATTATATATAACCTACTACCGCCTACCCTGATATTTGGTTTGGGAGAGTAGGGGGTTAAGTGCGAAGATAGCAAAGGGTGGTTGAATCAGGACATAGGATTAGTGCATGAATTTATCGAACGGTACTCTGAGACAGATGTGGTTGGGATCCGAGTGGTAACTATGGTCAGAGGTTGCAGACGTTGGGGGAGATGATTCAAAGTAAGTCGCAGTGCCACAGATGTATTCATTCTTTGTTAACCCTTTAGGTTTTGAGTTTTAAGATTATTTTATACCTCTTATTCTTATTTCTCGAATTACATTGTTCCAATACTGGTAAAGAATACTCAGTGTAGAAGCTGCTGAAACAAAATTCGTAAAACATGTTCGAAATACTAAAGCTGTTGTTTGTAGATAATGAAATTAAGTGCATTATCATAATCAGTTTGCGAGAATGCCAAATGTCGGACCTCGACATTATTTCCACGCTCTTGTCATTGAATGTAAACAATCACACAAAAGCAATATATATCATCAGATCGGAGGGACCAAGTTTTACAAGCATAGAGTAGAACAAAACTCGGTGAAGCATTGTATATTCAACCTCTTACAGATAAACTGATATTATGACGGCATCAGAGATGACCTACATTGACGTATAAACTACTTCAAACTCCAGTATATGTAGAGCAATCTCCTCTAACATCAATCGTGTTAGCAAGATATTGATTGGATTAAAGAATATTCCGTGCAGGATTGAGTTGGAGTACGTTGATTGATCATTTATTAGTCAATCAACGTTAGCGGATACTTAAAGAAGACTAGAATATCGTGCAAAATTATAAATATACTAACATTTTTCTTATTGCTATTCTTACTCCCATTCAACGTTGTTTATTTGGAATATAATTACGTTCCTGTTCAACCGTGTTCTGGTTCGGTGACTTGTCAAGTGAAGTAGTGTCCAGGAATACTAAGCAATAAGAGATTATAACTAGTTGTAAGATTAAAAGGGGATGGTGAAATTAAGTAAATTTATTTGTTCAACTCCATTTTTCGACTGTAATAATGAGAAACGGTACTGGTGTGCCATAATTCTGCCTGAGTTTGTTTTTTCTATATAAACTTCAAAATGTTGGTAAAATTTTCAGGAGCGTACCATTCTTTAAAAAATAATTCCATCGTAAGAGTCCATAGAGCTTACGAAATTGAGTTACATGTATATTGAACAAAAATTTAACGATAAAACAATGGAATCAAACCAATTATTGATAGTGAGCAGTTAGAATCAGTCGAAGAGTTTGTGTATTTGGGTAGCTGGATAAGTGCTGCTGGTGGTGGCGTAACTACTGAGGTTAACTTACGCATAGTGAAAGCCAGAGCGGCTTATGACAGTCTGAGCCATCTTTAGTGTCTTTGTGATATTAGTCTGCCTGCAAAAGGTCAGGTTTACAACGCGTCGATGAGAAGCTTGCTGTATGTTTGTGAAAACTAGCCTCTCTGAGTTGAGGATGTTAGGCAAGTCTTTGGGTTCAACCATCGTTTTATCCGAACTACTACTGACACTTAATGGTAACACCACGTTAGTAATGAAGAGGTTTACCAACGTTTATTCGAGTAAAGTGACAATAATTTAGTTACTGTCATTACCCCGAAAAAACACCGGCCTCAATGGCTTAGACGTATGCTACCAATATCGTTTCAGTCTATTTCACATCGTGAATTATTTGCCGACGCTAGGACTAACTGCAAAAAGCGAAGTGGTCAGTTTATGATATGGCGTCGTGGCATGAAAGGCTGTACAGAAGTGACATCCATCAACCCTTCACGACTTCTTGGTCGGGGTCTTAGGGACAATGCAACACAGTGACTTGGATCAAAATAAAAGTCACTGGTGATTGTGCTGTAATTTCCTCTTACTTCCTTTATATGAGGGAGAACTTCAACTAGGGGAAACCTTTCTGGTTATTTTTTTCTTAAATGAACTGCTTATTTCATTGACTTTTCTACCTATTCACTTTTGTATCAATTGGTGTTTCTTTTGACTCACTTATACTCGCTTTTTCTCCACCCCTTAAAAAACTCATTTTCTTATCGCTTAGGACTAGTATCAACATTTGTGTTTAAATATAGACACATAAATAATGAAATCACTACCAACTATTAAATATCTACTTACAGTGACAGGACTAGCTTTTGCTGTATGGGATATGGAGGATCCGTCATCATCTAATTGACCACTTTGTACTAAATATGTTGCACCTTGATGTGTAACTAATTGGGCGTGACCAACACCAGCTGTGGCAGTTAAATTTGCATGTGCCGCCGCAGCAGTATGTAAGGCACCAACATGACCTGTTGCACTATTCGCTGCACCAAACGCAGTAGCTAAAACCTAAAAATATTCCAAAAGACATTAGACAGATACAATACATAAAGATGATGTAGAATTTCTTATCAAACTATGACGCACTAATTCATCATACTTTGGAACACAAAGGAACAAGTATACAGTTCAACAAGGGAACAATGGATAAAACTGTACATTCCCAAAAACTGCATAGTGTCTTAAGATTGGAGGGAAGGAGGATAGTGGAAACTGGAATGCATGGGAAGATGATACAGAATGCATTTATACCACTGTGACTGATTATTAACCATGTAACTGCTCAAGATCACCAATAACTAATGATGGTCAAATGCCCCGATATTTCCAAGTACAACCAAGGGGGATGGATTTAAATATCACTCTCTTCTACTCACCGCCTTCTTACTATAGAGGTTTTGCTTACGAAATCGGGCCCCTTTGTACCAACGTTCACATGTTTACGTAAATCAAAAATATCGTCATCACGTGAACCCCAACTAGTTAGTCTAAGCCTATTCACATTGACAAGCGGTCAATGGACTGAAATCGTGTGTTTATATAACCGCCTTTAGCTCTCATTCAACGTACTAATCACTCCTAGCCCTGACAGTACTGAGCGTTTAGATACGTAGGCGATGGTTGGGAATATATAACACATATTCAAGTGGTCTCAGTCGATAATAATTTAGAATCTTATTGACTGATTCAGCACTTTTTATGTAGCATTTAACCTCAAAATTGTTTGAGCAATGTCAACAGAGATAATAAAAATATTAATAATCATTTGTTTATCGGTGGGTAACTTTAAGATAGATTTCTGAATATATTAATGAGAAACTGTGATCAATGAAATCCAATCAGAGACATATCATTAATAACTTCAGATAAGAATTGTACAACAGTATAAAAATTGAAGTTGAACACACTAAAAATAATTATCACTACAAGATTTGAGAATGTCTCAGAGAGTCGTAAATGAATGTTCACTACTGACCGACTAATCCACCACATTAGATCAAAATGAAAATCACTTTTAATAACTATTCAAAACAGTCATAATAATGAAGAAATACTAACTTGTCCATTAGCTGTTTGATAATATGTTGGTCCGCCTGAAACAGGAGCATAAATAATCGGTGTATATTCTTGATATTGTCTAATAAAGGAAATAAATGGAGAAAAAAATATTCAACAAATACGTTGTTAGTAATAATACAATGTAAAATATTATTTAGATATTTAATAAAGAAAAGAAAAACAAACAAAAACCAATAAGATAAACTCAAACAAAATCATATTACTGTTGTACAGTCTGTTCAATGGAATAGATGAACTGAAGCGGTTGTTCAAACAATTTATTATGATTTGATCCAATTTAAAGTCAATAATATCGTTTTTTTTTGACATTTCCTTTATTTCATGAAAATACATCCACAATTGATTCGTTAAAATATATATATTCCTGGATGTTCATAAAGTCAAACTCTCCAGTTATTTTATCATTTCATGTTTTATAGAACTGTATACACCAATGATTTATTTCTGGGTTTCAGTTAAAATTGAAGTGTTTTTGTAGTGTTCGTTCACAATTACCTGATCAAGTCTTTGTAAACAGCTGTTTTTCTTTTCTCAATAAGTGATCTATAGTATTTGATACATTTTCTAAGAGTACTTCTTATGTTTCATTAAAGGAGGCACATAGATATTGGTACAAGGAGGCACCAAATACATATGCGCCACACAAATCTCATTCGATGTGTGAGGGCTGTGACACTTCCCGGGTGCCCAAACCGAAGCAGGTGGTTTTCTTAGGAGGTCACTCCCCGAGCCTTCGACCTGAAGGTCTGATCCACAAGGCAGTGGAGCATCGTAAGGAGATGCAGTCCCATGGAAGCCGGTGACCAACAATTGGTTCATACGCCATTTGTTCCCGCAGGATACTGGAGCCCATGTGCACCATTGGGTTTCATTGAAGACTATTAATAGATCAGTTTCTGTAAATATATATGTATATTGGACAGATCATGCATAACTATAACTATAGCTCAATAAATAACTGAACAGCTTGAAAGCAAACTAATTAAATAGCCAACAAATTTAAAAAAATAAAGGCAATATAATAAAGACTTGACTGTACCCAATCGGATCAGTAAAATTCATGCAAGTCGACATATACCACCGACCAACATGCCTATAAAATAATACATGTTAATATCAATTCATTACTAATTATACCTCAAACAAAACTACTTTCATTTTGTTAATAAACCATTCCAATTAACAAACTAATTATCAAAAACATGCACTTTAATGTCATTCCATAATATTCAAACATACAATATAAAATACATTGCACCTCAAAACGGGATTAGGAGTACCAAAAAAAGCACACACACACGCACAAGCACGGGGGGTTAAGAGGGTAAAATTAGATTAATTTGAAACGAGTAAATAATGATGATTTGGGGAGAGAAAAAGGGTTAGCGATAGCAGTATAATGTCCTCATTCCATTGTCCAAATCAACCACTCAATTGTTTTATAACAACAAACGAAACTCTAGAGAGATGGATCAAGCATAAATTACCCAGACAAAGATTTCGTGACTGATGCAAATAGTTTTCTTAATGGCGTACCAGACTTAATTTCGAGAATCCCACTGAAAATCAAGAAATTTGATAAGAACCCAAAGAGAATGAAAGAAGAGCAGTAGAAGCATAGAAACTGTGATGTAAATTAAAATACATAAAACTGGAGAGGATTTTTATTGTTGTGATCAGTGTAAAAATGAGGTATTTGGTATATTATATACACCCGTTCACATAAAAGTTAATTCATATTCCATCTGATATAAAACTCTGGAAACATCTCCACAATCTACTAACCAAATACCAATAGCGTGGTGGCTAGTAACTAACTTTGAAACGGATTTCAGATGTGGTGGCAAGAAGTCACAACCGGTGCTCGTTCATATCAGAATTAAGACAATTTTCATAAATAGTACAATTTATTGTGAAACCATGAAAGTCGGATATGTTGACAGCTGGACTCCGACTTGGTGGGTCTAAAGGTGATAGAATCACCACAAGACCTGGATATCCTATGTTCCATTCTTCGTCTATAATACTTCATTGGCTGAAGTCAGTCGAGTAAGTCAATTACAACAACAGATGGAACGATTTTCACAAACAAGGTTAATATTACTGATAGCTAAAATAATTCTCCATCAGAGTATATTTACTGAACAATACAAAATCTTCTGAGGAATGGAAATACAGACTGAAAATTGATAATCCATTTGTTAATATTTTCAGGGTATTTTTCGTAACGAAATGAAAGCCTTTGACACTGTAACTGTTTACATAGTACAAAGTGCATTAACCGTTTAATAAACATACAAATACAATCAAAGAACATACTTACCCGCCTTCTCCATTTGCAGTATAAACAGTTTGTTCAGCGATAGCTTCAATATAATGTGCTGGATATATAGTTTGTGAGTTATTTGAATGTGTTGTTTGTAATAAACTAGTTTCCACTCCACTTGTTGGTGGACGATTACTAGTAGAGTCGGAAGCTATCGTTAAAATGAAATATTAATTGTCAGTATATTTCACTTTACCAATTTTACTAAGTAGGACATGTTGACCACTTTGTTGTAAAATTGTATGATTTTTCGGAGATAGATGAACAATGGTGGTACCTGGACCAGACGCTGATTGCATGGTCTTGATTGTAAGTGAAAATGTGAAAATGCGTGCACCTAAAACATGAAAATAAATTAAATCGAGTAATCTCCCCCAAGAGGATATACTAGTGAAAAGTAGATCGGAATTAGATGAAGTTATGTGGACAGAAAATGAATCTGGGCAATCCTATTACGCCAAAATGAAAGGATACTTAATAGTTACCCTGAAGTAGATTACGACGGAAACAAATTACAGAGTATGGAAGCTACCATGTGAAAAATACAATAAAAGCAGTTTTAAAGTAATCTAATCATACTATATTGAAAAGAGTCTCTTTTCTAAACATGGGTCAGTTTAGGTTTGATCCATGTATTACTATTCATGAAAATATACTTATAGTCATTAATAACTAGTGGACATGATGGAGACTGTTACAAATTTTTATGATTTTCGTAAACTTTTACTTGACTTGCTTCTAGCGCACACCTTTAGGTGTATCACATGTCAAACATTTCGGTGAGGTGCGCCTAAACTGATGAGTCGATTGTCTATAACTACTTAGCTATAGCAACGCCCACAACATAATAGCCAACAGAAACATGATGATTCTCACATCATAATCCAGTTTTCATGAAATAAAGGATCAATTTGTTATGTAATGGTTAGAAATTAGTCAGAATACAAGAAATTTTATCTAACTACGTTCCGAATCGTTGGTTAATTTACGAAGTTGCACAATGTGTAAACTATGATATTATGTTAATATCCTTACAAATATAATTCCGTGCAGAAAGTCATAAGACAACCAAGGATCTGATAGTTACTTGTCTTTGCACTTAGAAGTTACCAGCACTAAATGGATGACCGTGGCCTACTCATAGTTACCGTAATGGGTAACTAACAACCAAGTAGACGTATTTACGCAAAAAGATAAACAACTAGGTCTTCTAGGATTCCACCCGACAACATAGTGTAAACTATTTACAGCAAATGCACATTGTAGATAGTTTATTTTTATCAAGTGACAATTCGGGAAATGTATAAAGAGAAAATCAAACTAGATAACTCCGTACGATGGATGTGAATAGAATATATTAATCACTATATACGGTTAAAGATAGTCAAAGACTTCCACTTTTTCTGAAGTATAATCCTACGCTTTAGTAGAGCTCGATAACATTAACCCATAAAACTAGGCCTATTTCGGAGCATAATGTGAATGTGTCATTTGAACAATGTTATTTCTAGATTTTGACACTCGTCTATAGCTATGCTCTTTGACTTGAAGGTAATGTTAGACCATCGATTGAAGCCATTATTTCTATAGCTATTAGCGAAAGTTATACAAATGAAGTATATTATTACAATGAAGACTCTAAACTCAAAACTTAATTGGTTCAAAATGATAAGGGTAATGAGTGGACGACAAGCAGCCTTGTTTGACTAACATTACTTGAAAAAAGAGATGGGGAAGTTCTTTGAACAAATAAACACGGAGAATGTGTCACGAACTGGAGTAGAACAGTATTAGTGTCTTAGAAACGACTAATTCTCTGAATACGAGCTTTACAGGAAACTGCAGGTTCTCTAGACTGAGAGCTACCAGAAGCAAAGTGCTTAAGCAACACTCACTAATTTGTATGGTTGATAAAGAAACCGGAATATTAATATTCCAGTCTGTCAACTGACAAAATATACTTTTACAAAACTCTAAACCGCTGAATCTGCACATGATTGTAGTATGGATAACCATGTATACTATCTGTTGATGGATAAATACCCAGGGATAGTGGTATACCAACCACCATAACAACAACAGTACCCAAGTCGACTTGCAAGCGGATTGATTTTCATCAAGATATGATAAAAGGTGAATTCCTAGGTAAACTTCGAGTAAGATAATCAGACGAAGCACATAAATCGTCCTTTATTCTTTTATTATTGTAACTAAAGTACTTGGAGTGTTGTTTGAGGACGAATTTCAGGTCGAGGAGTGCAACACGGATTATTGCAGAAAAAGCTATTCGTGACGTTTAACTAGGTACAGAGAATTCTATGGAACTTTAGGAGCTTTCTATAAACCGGGTATACTTTGAAACCAGGCTACAATAATGAGACTCGTCATTCACCGTCCTAGTCAACAGTCACAAATATATTGGAAGGACTGAACTGATTATATGACTACAATAGCTCGAAATATAAAATAACATCTATCTGACTTATTACATGTTGCTTGGACTTTTATTACTAGGATTACACCATTAAGGCCGCAAACTACTATTTAAATCACAAAATGAAAATCCCACCTCAGTTGACAGGAAACAGTCGCCAACAGCTACGGTGACTATGGCGCTCACTATGGCGGCAAAGCGTTATGTCAACGGTTGCCAGCGTCACAAAATATGACTTGTTTTAACGAACAAGTCATACAAACTCCTGATGATCATTGAGTATCTTTCGGAACACAAATAACATTAAGATATATAAGTGAAAGCTAAAATACCATTTAAGACACCATACTTTTATTGATAATGTACAGTGTACAATTACAAAAACTCTCAAATGGACATGAAAATAATAGCTTGGTGGTTATTGATGAGTTTTCTTGGTAACTTGGTAGTTCTAAAATATAATTTCTGTCAATACTATTGTCTCATTGTGCTTAAATACAGAAGCTATACATGTTTTTTGTAGACTTTAATGTTAGATTATTATCTAAATGCAAGGAGCAACTAGTTTTCAACATGTAATGAAAATAAGGCGAAGACGTCAGCATACAAATATCACAATATCGTTCTGTCAAACGTTGATATTAAGGAGAAGAAATCAAAAAGTGCCAATTCATGGTTAAAATTTCTGAGTCATATTAGCGAACAGCTAGAGCCTTTAAAGTTCAAAACTCTGGCCCAACACATTACCAACCCCATATATCTAAAGGCTTTAATATGGGTTTGTAAGTAGGTATACAATCATATCGATCATTTCCGGGATTATAAGTAATAATCAATATTGAGCCGATCAAACCATAGTAGACAAATAATCGGAAAAATTTCGAACTTCATTTGAACATAGGATTTCATATCAACATGTAGAAAACAGTCTCAAGGACTTTTGTCGACTAGAGAACACGAAGTCTGATATAGAGAGGAGCATAAAAGTCCACAGGGAATGCGACAAGTTTTTAAACGTCTAGCTTTCGAGATATTGGCTTAATGATTCATCTTTTTCTACATAGATAATACTGAAAAGAATTAGTGCCTCAAAACTTCAGCTTTTTTATCAGTGGTTGCTTTTGAAAGTTAGGTCGCAGATATTTGAAGCTGCATTATATGACTTTTTAACTGGCTATCAGTAAAAGATTTCACCCCATTCGTACTTATTTCTGTACTGTCAATTTTTTAGTGAAATACTTTATCCACTAAGTATCTGTGTAGTCTCCTATGCACACTGACAAATGCGGGTCAACACAATAATTGTGGCAGAAGCCTTTGCATCAGTAGGCCTCAACATATACAGTGGAAAAAGAAAGATCCTCAAATACAACACAGAGAACACCGACCCAACCACACTTGATGTGCAAACTCTGGAAGATGTGAAATCTTTCTTGTAACTGGGAAGCATCATCTATGAACGAGGAGGATCCGATGCAAACGTAAAAGCGAGGATCGGCAAAGCAAGTACAGTATTCTTACAGTTGAAGAACATTTGGAACTAAAAAACTCTCTGTCAACCAATATCAAAGTCAAAATCTTCAATGCAAGCGTCAAGACGATTCTACTGTATGGAGCTGAAACTTCGACAAATACCACAACCGTCATCAAAAACGTACAAGTATTTCCAAAAAATCGTCTACACAAGATACTCAATTTCCATTGGTCAGATACCATCAGCCTTTTGTGGGAGAGGATAAACAATCTTCATGCTGGAGTAAGTTTGGAAACGACTTCGGAAGTGGATAGGACATACATGACGAAAATCATCAAATCACAGTGCGAGGCAAGCACTAACTTGGAACCCTGACGGCAAACGAAAAAGAGGAAGGGCAAAGAACACACTGCACCGAGGATTGGAAGCAGACATCGAAAGAGTGAAAAACAACTGGAAACAACTGAGAAGGGTTGCTCGAGACAGAGATGAATGGAGAGTGGTGGGGTAACAGGCGTAAGTAAACAAATAATTTGTGTAGTCACCAGCACTATAAGATATAGATAGTGACTAAATTTCTTAATGCTTGAAATAAAACCAAATCAAACAAGGAGATAACAATAAAATGGCAGTGACTTCTGGCCGGCGATGGAGCGCGCAGTCTTATGCTTCATGATACCGGCTAACTGACATTTCTCTCAACTTATGAATATTGTAATCTGAATCATCCAATATGGATGCTTAAAATCTACGTCTGAGATGTGAGGCTTTATTCCCTCTTATAACCATGATTTTTTCACCTGTCTTGCTCTTATCGAAGTTAGCCGATCCTTCTGCTGCACTTGGAACTACCAATGATGCTAACCTCACAGAATTTTTGCTGGCTTTATATGGACAAATTTGTGATCAGGTGTCACTAATAACACTCGCGCCTAGCACTTTTCAAGCATCTTTTGAAAAACACATCAAAAGACACTAAATGCTCTGATAATCATTAAACCATGGTTTATAAGCAAATGAATATCCGTCATCATCAGGAGTCAATATTACGTCCACTAGATAATGCTTAGTTCTATATATAACTGTGCAGACAAATATCGATGGAAGAACTGGCCATGTTTCTTATTGTTGAGGCAGCTTTCTTTTGCTTAGGTACTGTGGCTTGTATGAAACAAATAGACAACAAAACGGAAGAATAAATTTTCTTCAGTGATAATTGATATAATCATTACTGTCCATGAGGAATAAGTGAGGCAGTTAAGTAGCGATAATACTCCAGACTGTTGTTACATGACTCTTCAATAACATGCGAGCTGATAATCACAAATAGAAAACCACCAATGAGTAGATCCACAAATGCCTATAAACCATACTAGAAGGTAGGATCCGATATCTCTGAGATGGTAAGCGACCAGAGTTGTTGAAGTTGTTGATGGGTAAGTAAGAAATGGAGATACTGGGAGCATGAGATCATCATGATGGAAATTGAAAATTCGAGGACAATTTAACAGTCTGAATCTATGAAGGTCTACATAATTCAGGGTCCAACTGTCCACTAGCATTATAACTGAGAACCTGGTGTGGATGGAGATTAGTTTATGAACCACTGTATCTATTAATGTTGTACAGAGTCATCAGAAGCTGTATGTTTACGGTGTGTTCAGTTCGTGACTAGACGTCATTTTGTTGTTAACTCTTGCCTAGTTAACGTGGAAGAATAGTTGTAACTTATATTCTCATATGCATCGATAAACAATTGTTTGGAAACCCACATATTATACTATTGTACAATAATGCATCGATGTTTAATCCATGGTTCATAAGTCGTAACTGTCTGGTATGCTGGCAAAATAGTGCCTCTAAAAATGTTGTTTTCCGCCAGAATGTAGATCGTAGAGTTTTGAGCAGAATTTATCATTTAACCTGAAAATCATGAAGTGGATTTACTGACCAACAGGCATCCTTGTAATCCGTTAGAGTTGACCACAATGACGTGAAACGTAGGTCTAGGCTAATATTAATGAATATATCTATGTCACTAGAATATTGAATCTAATTTAGCAGTGTGGATTTGCCATGATTTGACTACTTAACCACAGAATCTTACGTCGTAGTCATATCACTGTTTATACAGACTCGTCCTATCGTGATAGTCAGATATATAGGTTTTACGAACCTTTACATAACACATTAAGGCTGGGGGCAGAATAAAATTTATAAAGAAAGAGGTTATATAGGGTGACTATGTCTGTATGACAGAGCTATACCATCTCGGTGGGTTGTCAGTTTGAGGGACTTTTCATCTTATAGTTACAGTTAAGTGTGATGGGTTGGTTGATTCGTTAAGATATTATAGACTGCACTGGCACGGTATATCTAAAGTTCTGTGGAAATTCTAGTAACTGCGACAAGCGGCATTTTGTTGGATAAGGGTATAAATAATTTTATCATGCGTTAACATGCGAGATGTAGGGTTTAGTGAGAAATCAAAGTTCATCTAATTTTGGCCTTAGGCAAAACACACTAGTATGTTCTTCTTCAGATTGTTCTCTACTCTATATGGCTTTATGGATGAAGGACTGTTTTGAATAAATGTGTGCCCATCTGAAATGTCATAAAGAATACAATCATTTTTCCACGGTTCTTCAGTATTAGCCTGTTCTTAGTGACTTTCCTCAATATACAGTTTCACAATAACTATTCGACTGTTGCCTTGGCCTCCTGACATTTGTTTTATGTTAATCATATCAATATTCGAACGATTATATGAAGCAGTAAATAGCCACTACTTGATGAGTACTCGGGAGATCGAACTTTCAGAGTAATGTAACCTAGTTCATTTCCCCAATCGTATTATGTTGAGTTAACTTTCAAATTGCTTAAGGATTTTTGGTTGCATTTATCATTATTTTCATCCTATTTAGAAAGCTATGATCAGAATTGATTTCAACTAGAGCTTGTCTCGAACCCTGATAGAGGATAAAGGTTGACCATTGTATTTGCAACCCTATTCCAAACAAAACGATCATTAATAAGGGACTCAAACGATAAAGACAATATGAGTCGCTGAGAATATGCCTTTGAAGTGTAGGCATTTTCACCCAGGAGAGGTATGAGGCGCCATTGAACTCTGGTTTTGAAGAAGGAAATGCTTTCCATATATGGGTTGTACTGAAAGCATTCATAGGGTAGGGTCTGACGTATTCAGGGCGATCAAACCGTTCCTTAAAACAATTCAGAAAAGGAATACACGAATGTTATCCAGTGTTAAGCAACCATCAATAACCGCGGTGGAGACGATAAAGATCAGTTTTATTAGAGACTTCAGTCAATCGTAAAAATATTCTCAGGAAACGGACTGGCAATCTTAATAGGAGACCTAAACACCATGGTCGGAATGGATAGCTCTGAGTAACAGACTTAAGTATTACAATATCTGGTGAAACCAGATGAAACCAATATGGGGGAAAGCCGGAAAGTGACTAGAGAAGAACTCAATTCAACATGTCACGAGGTACTCGGCCGCAACAAGCATCATCATAAGGCATGGATCTATGGAGAAGCCCTGGGCCGAACACAAAAAAAGGAAGAACAAAAAGACAACAATTAACAATAGTCGAACTAGCGCGGAGGAAGCCAAAGAACAGACCTAATGCACAGAAGTAGACAAAGAAGTGTAGAAAAGAATTACAGCTAATGAGAGGAAGTATGTGGAAGGCCTGGCAATGGCTGTTAAAAAAGCTGCA